AAGCTCTTCGCCGCAAGAGAGAAAAAAAAATCGAGACGGATAACGTCGGCCGGCGTAACGGAATTTCGGATGGGATCGGGAAAGACGCGTCTACTGAACGGCCGGTTTCGGACGGAGATCAGCGGTAAAATAATGGCGGTAGTCGGATTTAAATAATAGTTAATATACTCGTATATAGAAAATAATAATTCGAGGCTGTTACCGCGGCTGACGAAAAACGATTCTGAACGGAGTACGGTTAATGTGCGCGAGCGGAAACGCCGCGGTTTTTACTTTTTTCTGAAACAATAGTTTAACATCAAACGCTTATACTCGTATGTGGAAAAAAAACGCATAAAACATTTCAAGTGTCTATAAATAGCTCGAAAAACCGCAGAAATATTTTGCGAATTTAACAACGCCCAAGGGTTAATATAAATACTTGGTAAAAATGCCAGGTTCCTACGACCATTTTTAACCGAGTTACACACACAAAAAAAAAGTGACTAATAAACCGTACATTTTCCCGTTTTCCCCGATTGTTATAAGAACACTACAGAAAAAAATTGATAAAAGTCCTAGTTGATGCACAAACCATACCGAATCTGATATTGAAAACGGTAGAAACCCCCATTCATGTCACAGCAATTAAACCCGAATAGAAAAGGGTCTGGGGGGGGGCCTTGGACCCTTTTTAATCCTTACCGGTCATGGCCTCCGGACCACAAGAGTGCAGAGGCTTCAGTTTTCGACGTACTACGTGTTCTTTATCTATGCATTTGATCATTAAATTTGTATGAATTTCCGTTGACGGCCTTTGGTGTAAACTATACAATAGGTCTCCGCGCGTAAAAAAATCGAAATCGTTTTTTATTGTACTTCCTGAGGGTGTCTTGTTGAAAACTTCGGACCCGGGGCCTGCAGCAGTAGAGACGTCTTAATCGGCGCTCGGGAGCGACGGTACCCGGTGTAGGAAAGTAGCGGTTCACGGATGGATAAAAAAAAAAAGCGCACGTCGTACGCGTGTAAAACGAACATTCCTCGCGCCGTACGGTCGGGCGTTTGAAATGTGTTAATAATAATAATAATAATATAAATACGCGTCGTCGTCGTGCCAATTAAACGGCCGCGGTGGCGGAAGGAAAACGCCGGGGGGGGGGGGGGGAGAAA